ATTCTAAGCAATTATAGACAGATATAACATGTTCTCTACAACATACTTTGACAGCTCAAGATAAAGTAAGACATGTACGAGACTGGTACAAAAAAAGTGAAAACTGGTTAAAATAGTATTTCAAAAGAAATTATATGTCTTGGGATAACCAATATGGTATAGCCTACTATGAAGTAATCCTACTCTGATCCATTATGTTCAATACTGGATGATTGGCTCCTTCCATTTATTAATTGCAAGTCTTTTTTTTTTGTTTTCAGGCCAGACGCCAGTATCATAGATGAAAACGACAATGTCTTTGATATCACCACAAATCTGTTAGAAAATCTAAATTTTCAGTATGATTCCTTGGATGTTAATGATAAGTTTGTAACAATAATATCAGGAAACTGATATATGAGAAATGTAAGTATGTTTTTCACTTTCTCTTTTACATATAAATAATTAATTGTAAGATATCTTGGGAGACGGGGTTACATACAAGGTTCAAATGCTTTAGCTTTTAATTGGCTACGCCCTGAAATATATACCTAATAGTGTAATTATTTTCTTATTAACATTATCATAAATATATAGAGGAAATATGTGGATGACAACCATACACCCAAACCATGCAACTGTAGGAACAAGGAGTTGTGTCCACTAAATGATGAATGTCAAACTAAGGTGGGTTTACACAGGCAACCTTTTTATCTGCAACTTCTTTCAACCCTCAACCTACTTGTGATGTTCACACAGGGTAACCTTCTTCAACCTCTCTACTAGTTGTCTTACAGGTCGATGAAAAAAGTGTACTGTTGTCTATTGGTTACAGCCGTCTCCAATGCATATATATTACACCTAGTAGCACTGAACTCTAAAAATGACAAGTCTTGAGTCAATTGGTACATGACCTTCTCAGAAGCTAACTACGCCCCTCAATGTATAGAATGTACAATAAGAAAAGAAAAGAGACAAGTACTAACATAGAAAGCAGACCAGACGCCAATGCAAGACCTGTACACCAAAGATCCCATTGTGTGACATACCATGTTTCGAACTTTACCACAGTATAGTAGATAACAAAAGCTTGGCAGAAGAATTGCAATAATAGTTACTGAAGTCGGATTCACTTGATGTTGTTTATTTCTCGGCCATAAATTTTCAGATAAACTAAGTGTTGGATATTCCAACCAATATTTGATCTGAAAAATGAAAAAGAAACATTATCGAATAAAAACTAATATAATGACTATGACTATATTATGTTCGCATATATAAATTGACCTACAAAGCTAAAATTGAGATTGGCCAGCTGGTCAAGTGGAAACAATTTTATATGAACAAACTCACCTGAAAACTTGGTTCATAAGGACATATTTGCATCATTCTTTTTTAGATCAAAGATATCACAACAAGCGCCGGTGGATTTAAAAGAAAATTCTGAAATATGGCAGACAAACCAGTGGCTCACCTTGACAACCAGGCTGACCTTGTCAACATAAGGTTATGGAATGGAAAGGCAAATCTAAACGTCAAGCCAGATATAAACTGTCTTTTGACTAACATGACGGTAACTGAATATAACAGCAAGAAGGACTGGAACCAGCTATCTGCATCAGTATTCAATATAAAGATTAAAAGGATTAAAAAAAACATATGATGAATTCAAAGAAGAAGCTCTTGGATATGTACATAATGTTGAAGATGTTAAAATATCACAAAGAAATCAAACGAAAAGTTGTCTTTTTCACCGCAGAAACACTCGACTTTTGTTAATGCAGAAAAACTACAGAGTCCAGTTAACCTTTCTCAAGAAAAGTTATTAAAATTTTATTCAGCAGAAGAGATATTTATAGTCACAGCCCCGGAAGTATTTCAATTCGCCATAGTCTAGCACAAAAATTCACAACTGACATTATTCCATAACAAAGGCTACACACCCTATGGTGATGAATCCTACATGACCAATGAAACATCCAAGGTAATTTGGATTCATCAAGTTTCTATTAGTTTGAGCCATTCAGATGTAACAAGTTGAATAAACGATCGTTGGAACATTTGCTAAAGAAGCCTGTAAAACTTTATTTCAGTCATTACTTTCTGTTCATTAAACGTATAAACATGTACAGAAAAGACTGTAGATTACAGTAACCTGTAAACTAATTCCTACCAGCACTTTTAAACATCTTGAATACAAGCCCAAGTTTTTTTTTTTTTTAGATATTTCAGAGCCCAGAAAGTAAAATGGAAGACTCTAAATTAGATAACTTTATAAATCCAGAGTCGCAGATGCCAAGGATGCTGCCCCAAAACGGAAAATATCAGTTGGGGCTATTTGTACGTGTATGTCCGCCGAACACAGTCTGCCACTTATTTTGAAATAAATTAGAAACAATAAATACCAATTTTATTATTCTTTATAAAAAACGGTATATACATATATGCTGTATAAGACAGCAAGATACTTAACCAAGCAGTTCTTGGTAACCCTTGTACTATTGTAATCCATTAACTTGTCTGACCCAGAGAAAGTATTCCTCCCTGGCTTTCCCTGTGTTCTCGGCCACAATGCGTAGCTTCTGCTATTCCCCGAGGCTATCCATTCGCTTGCTGGTTGAGAAGACAGTGACCGATGGCCGAACTGACTAGGAAACGTCATTCGGTTACGCCAACCTCCGCAAGGCGAAACAACCTCTCACATGAGGTTGAAATACGTTTGGGACGTTACCGTCCGACTTCCGTCACCCTTTAACAACAAATAGTTCATTTTTTGAGGTCAGTAATTACGATCGACAACTTTTCATGAGTCGATTAACACCATTAAATATCTCTTCAGATTCCAGACGACTGCCTCATAAAATGGACAGGTTTTCTTAGAGCCATAAATAGTTATATGTTGGGCTGAAAATTGTATCGAGGAAAATTGAGGAAAGAAACTAAAAAGACCAAAACCGTTCGCCTCAATATATTTGTGTCTAACATATAATTACAGCGGGAAAAAGTGAAGAAAGAAAAATACAAGACGAAAACCGTCCGCCTAAATAAACAGTCAACGAGAAATGACAAGTTGTTGCACGTGCCAGTCTTAATTGTGATTTTCTTTCCTTGTTAGTGTTTTTCTTTTTTTACTTGTGTCGATTTCGACTTCAAGGGAGATGACTCGTACAAGTTTTATTTTCTTGTTCACAAATTGTAGCTTAAAAGCACATCGGTTGAAAGCTAACAGGCTAAAGGTATAAAGAGGCTCAAAAGTCATTGTTTGAGGTCTCGTTACCACGTTGTGAGCTGTTAACAGTTTTAGTTAACAATTTGGATTTAGTGCGAACTTAAGTTAATTTCCTTTTTTGATCAAACACATGTAACTTTTGGATCAATAAAGCACTCTCTTACGGTTCGGTGTCCAAAATGTGATATGCTGACCAAAACCTCAAAACTGCACTCTAGATGATCACTAGAGTGGATGATATCGGAGAAAATTTAAAATTTTCGATTCTACCATGAAAGATATGTAAAAAAAACAATGAAGAAAGACCATTTGATACTACGGTTTGAGAAATATCCGATACACATGTAAAATAAATTTCGTTTGCGAATGATTTAGAGTAATAGTAGATAAATATCCGATACACATGTAAAATAAATTTCGTTTGCGAATGATTTAGAGTAATAGTAGATATTTTTGTGTGTCGCAGCAAAAGTTTTGAGTACGATTGATTTTTTATTTTAGTTTTTGAGAATTCACCAGGGCTCCAATCATTTGATCCACATTGAGTTTGAAATATAATTATAGTTGCGTCGTTTAGATAAGCCTACATATATTAACTAAAATCCATTTTAAGCCTTAGGACAGGGTTATTAATTGACCCCCCCCCCCCCCCTCCCAAAAAAAACCAATTTCTAATGATCACCCAACGTCCACTAAGGAATGATGTCATAGGAATGTTAAAACATAGGTCAAACGTGGAAAGATAAAGTGAAATTCCTTTACAAACTTATTTGTTACTGCTTCAAGGTTAAAGATAGCTTGTCAGGCATGGTAATATACACCCACTGGCAGCTTTGATTTTGAATTAAAATTATTTGGCAGTACAGTAACAATTAGCTGTATGAAATATTAAACCTTCTCTTTTGCATTTTTGGCCATACTGAATAACATTTACGAATCTGGTGTGAATTGTGCCTTTCAGTGTTTACGAGCTAAAATATTGAACGAGTTTTCAAGAACAAGGGCAATAACACACACTGAATATTTTTCGCTTTATCTGATTTTCATTAGTGTTCATCCTGGGGTGATATCACCAAGTTTCGTTAAAATCCTTGTGCTTCCTAGAGTGTTTACGAGCAATTGCGGACGGACCGACGGACATGGGTGACGCCAATTTACGCCTCCATTTCATGACCTCAATTCCACACCTTTGACAATGTTCGAGGAATGCAATTCTGAAAATGTTACTAAATTTCAAAATTTCAAGTCTTTCAAAAGTTTATCATTTATAGGAAAAATAATTTTTAACTAAAATTAATCGGATGAAATTGTAATTTTCATTTGCATGAGATCAATTTAATTTGTTTGTAGGTTATAGAAAAAACTGTAAAGATTAATGGGATTACATTGAGAGAGTGAGACTATCATACTATTCGAAATATTTTTTCTAGATAATAGACTAATTGAGACTAAATTCAATCGTAAAAACAGTATAGGCCAAAATTGTGCAGTCTTATATTCCCATATATTATTGGACAGTCTTATATTCCCACCAAGTTTCGTCAAAATCTGCCAAAAATTGTGCTTCCTACTAGAGTGTTTACGAGCAATTGCGGACGGACCGAAGGACATGGGTGACACTGTTGTGATAGTGATCCAAGTGATGTGTATTGTTGCTTGCTTCCTTGCATTTATAAAATGAAAAGACTTGAAAATTACATATTTTTTGTTACAGAGAACAATGTTAGTATATCTTGTGTTATATATCACACCCCTGCTAGAGCGTATATCTAACAAGTAACAGAACATAATTATGGGACAAGTTTGTCTAGAAAGGTAAGTATCTGGATAGGATCACATTTCCTGATATAAATTCTACTTCTAGAAACGATGTCGGTTGTCTGGTAGAAATTGGTAACCAGGTAAGGTTAGACGTGTTTCGGTCCACCTTTTCTCCAGTTCTACACTCTACAGCTCAAATATAAGTAATGTGTAGACTAGGTGATTACGAACACTTATATCTGATACAATTACTGCAGGTTATGATAATCGATAATAAATTGTAAGTATTGCCAATACTCGAAAAACAAAGCATTTTAATCCTTTTTTCTTATAAACAAATTCAATACAAAAGGAAACCAAGAAAACGCGTTCTATGATGACGATAAGCGTTGCGAACGGCCTTATAAAGGATTCTGAGTCATTTGAATAACGGAAATGCATTGTTTGCCTCAGCTTGTATATGTTTATGGCACAAGATTAATGCAATAAGCACCAGAGACCATTTAACCATACCAAGCCAACCTTCTTTATTCCGCGCTATTCAATTGCGCTGTGCAGTTTTTAGGCAAAATAAACACAGCCCGAGCTGCAAGGCCTGGTTTGTTTGGGGTTAGGTCGGTCCATGTCGAAATTCCTCGAAATGAAAGATTCTGCAAGCTCTGTAATGTTGGTATAGGTAATGAGTATCACTACCTTAACTGGCTTAAGTGACAAGTTCAAAGGCTAATCTAATGCATTATACTAAGACAACTGATAGATAATTTCCAATCAATTCATTGATTATGAGGTAATCCCTTACTTAGAAAAGTTCAATGCAATAAGCACTTAGAAACCATTTAATTATACCAAGCCTTCCCCTAATATACTGTGTCATTACATCGACAATTCTCAAGCTTGGAAAGCAACATTTATTGGATCTTCTTTCGTTCGACGCCTTGATGGATATCTGAAGGAGAGACGGGAACCACTCAAGCCCGGTTACACCATACAGTTTCTGGGCAAGGGTGGTGCCGGGTACAAGGAAACTGAAGCACAGGTACGTTATGTTATCAGTAGCATAGGGAACTAGCTCATTCCTCTTCGCCTGCAATCAGAGTTTGGTGTTTCCACTGGGTGCCAGCAGACATGTCATCGCATTATGCCTACTAACGGAATGACATGTAATACTATATTAATTATTGGTTTGTGATATATTTCAGGTTTCTTTGATTGATATGGACACCGATATGGTATTTATGTATGTGGGGGGCAATGAAGTGAAGCCCCAGGTGCCCATGTCATACCACGTGTGTTCCATGCGTCGACTTCTGGAATTAATCCACAGGAGAATCGGAAGATCGAAGCCTGTGTTCATCATAAACTTGTATGAGCGCCTCAAACCCCGAGGCTGGTCTGATGTTATCAAATACAACAGGGTTGTACGGACAGTTAACAAGCGGTTCAAGACTATTTCGAGAAGAATGAGTAATGTGGTGTATGTTAATACTTTCTCGGGGAATCGTTTTAGCCACCCCTGCTTGTCGTCAGTCCTCCGGGCCGACGGGGTTCACTTAAATGATGTCGGCCAGGGGGTGTTATTGTGGAAATTAACTGGGGCTATGGAGGACTGGATGACAAGTTAACGTTTGTGAATTGAATTGTAAATAAATATTGTTGTAACCAAATCAAATAAAGATTATATGGATTCCTATTGACGAGGTAAACCCCCCTTTCAAATGGCATTGGTTGCAGACAAAAGATTGTTATGTCCACGACCAATCTCATTGGTTAGCAGACTAAGGAAGGCTGGCTGCATGCATGATACTGCCTACAAGTGATCGATAATCTCCAATTACTACGTGATAATCGTCCTCTGTATATCTTAAATAGGTAATCTCACTGCTTAGGACATTTCACTGATCGCCTCTGATTGGGATTAAACGAGGTTCTCTATATACCCTTGAGGCAGACGGAGGGAACATGGGACTTGAAAATGCAGCCGTATTTGCATTGTATGTGTCTGCATGAAGTCCCCAGAAACCGAAATGAATCGCTGCACGAGCATAGAGCTCGGCTTGCCGCGTACTTCGAATAAGCGACAGAAATGAGTTGCCGATGACACTGAACCGTGGAGTAGTGCAAGTCTCTGACACCTTTCCTTCTCCACTTCCAGGGCCAACTCTAGAATTTTCGGTCACATGGGACGCCTATGGAGAAGTGGGCTATGTGTCACAGATGCCGAAAAACTACTGCCATGCGTGCAGCCCACCTGGAGATGCTATGTTCCACATTTCCATAGATCTCTCCCCCCCCCCCCTCCGGGTGCAACCTCAAAGTCGATTTTCTCGGAAGATTAAAAAAAATTTCGAATTTCCGATTTTGACTGAAATGGATAGGGGGGACATGTTAAACTTTCAATTGCAACAAAAACTAGATCCACAGGCTTCGCGTGGTTCTGAAGCAGTACGTAACAGTTTTGATTTCACGCTTAAAACTGTGCTGCAAAGTATCGTAACAGTAACATAATTTCCTATCATAATTAACTGGATATAGATCGCCCAAACGCAAAGCATATTCGACAGATCGCTTCAACTCACATTGCATTCAACAACAGTTGAAGGGAGCAAACTATCTTTATCGTTTAGTCCACAAAAAACTTACAAGAGGGAAACCGACTTTTTCAAGAAAAAATTCATCAATTTCAAATAGCGTTAAAATCGGAAGTAAACACCGTACAATAAACGTTAATATACCATTGGATAGATCTCGTCGAGAGCTATCAAAATTGTTCTGGTCACATGATCATCAAAGGTCAAGGTCACGATATACGACCCTACAAAGTATTCATATTTTTCAACCGGAAATAAATAAAAAGCAAAATCAAAATTCAAAAAATGGTTCTCAAATATTATTTAGCAATCGATAGTAGATACCATAGATATCAAATTTACCCAAATTGGATAACCCCCTTAGAGCCCATTTCGATTTAAAGAAAATTACGCACAGTTACTATAGAAGAAAGTACAAAATTTTCAAATATTAAAAAGCGCAATTTTGATTGAAATACCTAGTGTTATATATCATTACAAAGGGCAGATGAACACTAGTAAGATTCAATAAGAATTTTTGATGTATGTAAATTAGGTCACGTGTCAGAGCTCTTTGAAGATAAAAATCGTAATTTTCAATCGGCTATAAAATCGGAAGTAAACAGTGCACAGCACAAATGTGTATATCACTGGATAGATATAATCAAGAGTAACAAATTTTGTTCAAGTCACAAAGTCACCATAGGTCAAGGTCACGAAATAGGTCCCTTTAACATTTTGGACATTACCGAAAAATTTTAACCGGAAATAAAAGAAAAGCAAAATCGAAATTCAAAAATCGGCTTCCAAATTTCTTTTCGCAATTGATTGTGATATCCAGGAAAATCAACGTTATGAAAAGCGCTCTATACCCTGAGGCCCCATTTTGAATTTTACAAAAGTTTGACATACCAATATGGCGGCTACACTGTTACATCCGGGTCGGATTTTATGATTTGAAGTTTTTTGTATGACCATTTGTAACATATTGCAAAAATAATTTTTTAAATATCTTCAAAATTCCGGAAGTTGAATTTTATATTTTAGAAGCGAATAGCGTGAAAACCGGAAGTGATATCGAAATTTCGAAAATTAGTTTTTGTTTGCAATAAAAGTGTCTATCTCTATATAAGTTTTCAGATTGATCGAAATAGAATTGTAGAAGTTAGAAAAAAGGTTAAAAAAACTCTAAAATAGGAGCTCGAAAAGTAAAGTCAGCGACAAAAGTCAAAATTGTCGATTTTTTTCAATTGCTATCTTGTAGTCATTAGCGCGAAGTAATTAACATAAAAGTTTGAGCAATATCAGATAAGCATTAAAGCTCATAAATGGAAGAAATCGAAACAGAGCCATTGGCCACCGCTCATTTCCGGTTTGTCAAAATGGTGCCAATTTACATTTAACAAATAATGGACCACTATTTTGACTAGCAAACAGTAACAGACAGTCTGTGGCATTTTGCCTTCTTAGAAAACAAGCGAAGGTAAAATTCGAAAAAAAAAAATATTCATTTGCAATTATACCTCTGGGGTCACAATTGGCGAAGTAATGGCCATTTTAGTTCAGGGGTGGGGGTCGGCAGTCAGCCTATAGAGTCTAGTTGCACTGCTTGGGGTTAAGACCAAAACTTTGACAGGCTTCCGTTCGAAGACTATCAGAGCTGGAAAGCTGAAATTTGCACTGCACTAAAACAGTAAACAATATATAACATCCGAACGACTGCCTTTTCCATGTCAGCCCCTCGTACCTGCATCACTGATAGGGGGAAACCGGGTTGAAAAATCCGAAGGTATTATCTGGACACATGCCGGGATTGAACCTTGTACCTTCAGGTTAGCGAGCAAGCGTCTAACTCATAGGTTATACACCACATGGTGGTATTAAAAGCAAACAAAATATTTAAGATAGCTTGCCAGGCAAGGTAACATACGCCCATTGGCAGCTGTCCGAAATGATAAAACAGTCTTTGGTGACTAAAGTATGAATTGTCTCAAATTTAAGAAATTTTAATAGTTTGAATTCAATGATATATATATTTACTGCCAGTTATTTATGCTGAGAGATTCCTCAAAATTTTTAAAAGTCAATATCAACAACCCAAATACATCAAATTATCTCATTAAAATACATGATAACACCATGTTTCATTAAAATCAATTGAAAAATGTAGTCTCTAATGTGTTCACAAACAAATTTTGACGCGTTTTTCCCACGTGAAGTGCAATAACTCAAAGGCCGTTCATCGAAATATCAAATTGGAATTTGTCCAAGATCTCATCAATATAAATGATCACACCAAAATTCATTAAAATCAGTTGAAAACTGCAGTCTCTATTTGGGAATGGCAGCGACAGAGCAGCCTTAGCCGCCGCATCTGCCTGATTATTTCCCCGTATATCCATATGGAGATATGGGGTGTACAAGCTGAATGTCATTAATAGCTTGTAATGAGGACAAAAAATCAGAAAATATAATACATCTTTTAATGATGTAGAGGACTGAAAGAACTCAATGGCCTGTAAACTGACAATGAGTTCTGCTGTGAAAATGGAGGCTGCTGATGGTAAAGCTACAGACAGAACTTTGGATGGTGTAACTGTAGCGGCTGCTACCTTGTCACCATCCTTAGATCCATCTGTAGAGAAAGGTGAGTAACCCCCATATTTAGACCTTAGTTCTAGAAATTTAGACTTGGGGACAAAAGAGCTTGTCTGTGACTTCTTGTTGCACGATAGACTAAAGTCTATCTGAAACGGAGCAATCGAACAAGGTGGAGATGTAGTCATTATGAAGTCCACAATACTGTCGTGGCTGATACCAGCCGCTGACATAAAGGGTTGAATGCGGACACCAAAAGAAGAAATAGCTCGAGGCTTTGCCTCATACAAATTCTCAAAGAAAGGTCTAAATACGGGGCGGTAAGCAGAATGATGTGGTAACATGCTATTTTAATGGCGTACTGTAATCAAAGTCTGTCCCGTCTGTCGTACAATGAGGTTTCATTTGCTTCGACGCACAGACTTTCAACTGGAGTTGTACGAAATGCACCTAAACTGATTCTAAATCCTTGATGATGTATGACACCCATAATCGAGCATGAAACGAACCAAAGCTCGATATAATCGGAGGAGGACAATTCGGTCAGCTCCCCAGTCAGTATTGGATAAGACTCGCAGTATGTTGAGGTCTTTCAGACTTTTGTTCTTGAGGATTTTGATGTGAGGACGGAAAGAAAGCTTGCAGTCAAAGGTAAGACCTAAAAATTTAAATTCCTGTACAACAGGAATGGCAGCACCGTCCAAGCGTAGCACTGGACCAAGGTGTAATCCTCTACGTTCAGAGAAATGCATGCAGACGGTCTTGGATTTCGAAAACCTAAATCCATTGTTAGTTGCCCATTGCAGTTACTTGTTTAAAGGAATAGTAAGCTTTGTAAATTTGTAACAGTATGAATTTTGTACCATGTAACATTTAATACAGGTTGTTAGAAACACGTTCTGTATTATTAATGCTTAGTATGCGGTTATAGGTTATAAAATCTATATTGGTAAACTATTTCTGGTTTTGCTATATTTGGTTTACATAATTTAGTAATTGTTGCAATTATGTTACGTTCGTTATTTTAGTTTTCTGGGATTATATCGACTTACATCATAGTTTTGAAATTCAGTTGATGTGCACTGTGTTTTATTATATATCGGTTAGTAAGTAATGCATTTGATTGTACTGTCTAAAGAGGTTGTATATCACATGGTGTAATTATTTGTTCGGTGGTTGGTTTTTAATAAACTCGTGCATTGTTCTATTGGTTGGATCTGGATACCTGCTGGTATAAAGCTTGAATTGGCTACAGTGGCCCAGTACCCACATGTGAGATAGTTGGAGTGCGCTGCTTACTTCTGTGGTCCTATTCCACAAACTCGTAACTATATTTTATTCTTTAGATCTTATGTTAATGTGACTTCTACTAATTGTCGAAGTAGATGAGGTAATGTTTGTCACTCATTCTAATATGTTTTGTATATTATGATTTAATGTTAGTCGCGGGCTATGGATAATATTTATGGATAATATTTAGATGTACTTTACGCCGAAGATATTGATTTGTTTAACAGAACCTATTGACCTACGAATCCTATCTCAGACTGATTTGGAAGACCTACGACTGTTGTTCCAAGCACGATTATGGGTGTCAGGTGTATGGTTCGGCTCGTCAATGCTATATCAAAGAGCTTGATACCATACATCCGATGGCAGCAAAGATGGGATGCTGCAGACACTAACAAGCTTCATGCCATTAAGCCTCTCCTAGAAGGCTGGCCCTCCTCCTATTGTGCAAACAGGAGAAATGAAGTTGTTTTGTGTCGCTCTCGCTTGGACATACTCACATCACCAACTGTTATCTGCTCAAGCGAGAGTCTCAACCAGTCTGTGAGCACTGCCAGATCCGCCTGACAGTGAAACACACTCTGATTGAGTGCAAGCATCTCAAACTTTTGAGATCCCAGCACTACCGTTTTGGATCTGTACATCAATTATTTGCGCAACCTTCTCTGGGTTGTGAATTTTTAAAAAAAAGCCGGTCTTTATTTTAAATTTTAAATAGATTAGTCATTGTTTATTTTAAATATTTTTAATACCACCATGTGGTGTATTACCTGTGATATTGTTTTTGGTGTTTTTTGTAGTCATTAAATGACTGTTTCTGTGATATGGTTTTTATCGCTTTTTTGTTGGTTTTCTTTTGTTGTCACTATGTCCACCTGAGTCGATTGCTCCGTTTCAGATAGACTTTAGTCTATCGAGCAACAAGAAGTCACAGACAAGCTCTTTTGTCTTCAAGTCTAAATTTCTTGAACTAAGGTCTAAATATGGGGATTTTGATCCTTTCTATACACTATGGTGGTATTTTTAAGACAAGCAGGTATCTATTTTAAATTTTGAATAGATTAATTATTGTTGGTTTTTAATACCACCATGTGGTGTATTGCCTGTGATATTGTTTATAGTTTTTTATGTAGTCATTAAATGACTTTTTCTGTGATATGGTTTTTATCTTTTTTATTTGTTGTCACTATGTGACCTTTCTGTGATATTTTATAGGTGTTTTATTGGCTATTCATACTTTCAAATACTCTCAAATGCTTTCAAATTTCAGGATGGATGGCGGCCTGTGGGGGTGTCCACGTGGATTTAGACAGAAGCATTGTTCTAGTACCACGTAGGGAGTGGTTGATTCGAAAAAAATATGTGCAGCTAAGATTTCGTTGAAATCGTTCAATGGATGGTCGGAGATAATTTAAGTTGGCTACCTTCGGTGTCTACAACCATCCTGCAGGTTAGTTATTTGGTGGGAGGGTTATATGCATGTTAGATATAGATAGACACCTGTGTCTGTTTAGCTGGGGTTGATGTCTTCTTATTTGAATGGCTTCGTTCATTTGTCTGGTTTTCTTGTTGATTTGGCGTTGGCTCAGGGCTTTGATGTTGGACGTTTAATTTTGTGTCTTCGATTGTGCTTTAGGTGTTTTGATACTACAGATGTTTGGGTTGGGGCTAAGGATAAATGTTTTGTAGTTCTTAGATTCAGGGCGGCTTATTTATACAAATATATTATTGATCACAGGAACAAGTGAACTTCTACACGCAGCCGTTGGGTCCTTGGGGTATAGTTGGTTAAAGTTTCCTATTGACAAGAAGGATATCTTTGATTGTTCGACCAGATGAGAACACGGTTTCAATCCCAACAATTTGCTTCAGCATTCTTCTGATTTGGTAGGATAACTTGCCAACGAAGGGGATAGAAATTCGAATTGGTGGTGACGAGGGTTGAGGTTCAGTGTGAGTGTGTTTCCGGTAGTGCCCACTGTCTTAATCTGAAGGTCTAGAAAAGGGAGCTGATTTTCCGAATCAGTTTCCATTGTGAATTTGATGCGAGTGTCCTTGCTATCGAGATGGTTCAGATGCTGGTGGGGGTCATCAGTGGCTTTCACCATGCCAAACATGTCGTCCACTTTATTAAACCAACAGATTGCACGTTAGACCCCATTTCATTTGAAGTATTCTCTTTTAATCTGTTGCTAAAGATAGGACGTTTGACCTCATTTCATTTGTAATCCATAATGAAAATGAGGTCCAAGATGTTTGTTTTACGTTAAAATAAACAATAATAGCAGTGATTTAAGATTAACAAAATGTTATTTAACAACAATTTTATGTTTAAACTTAACATTTGAATCAAACGCGTAATCCAGAAGAATAACTGCAGATATGACGCGCTTAGAGTCACTAATAAACTTTATCAAAAGGAACTTAACTATTACGGAACTATTAAACTACATAGTAGGAATTATTCTTTTGTATTTATCTGGACTGATAATTCCATAAAGAAATGTTGAATGAAAACTCCGCTAATTTAAGAGATCCCTTTTTACTGAGCATCGATTGGAAGCCGAGCAGGGTATGACTTTGACATATTATAGGAGGTAATATCGATTGACGGCCACTTTTTCTATACAATTTTTTCAATGTATTCAAAATACGTAACTCGAACTTCTATGCTTTCATTAGGATACACTATATGATGCATAGAAATAATACCATTAAAAGCATTTAATCCTTCAGAATTCAAGCCATCGAAATGTAATATCATGCGTAAGTATGGATTTCCCTTCTTGGTACTTTTCATGTAGATTTGGTAACCAGTAGCAAATACTGGTCTGAAATCTTGCTGAATGCATTGCGTCGCATGGCTATGACCCGAAAAACTTTTGCTCAATCAATTTACTTTTTTAGCTTGTATTGATGCTGATGCTGTATTCGAGAATTACACGTTCGAAACCGTCAGCGTCTTTAGCTGCTAGCCATATTATATTTGCTGAAGCAATTTCATTCGTGTCCCTTTTGACCTCGGTTTCATTCCAAGTATAGCAGCGTCCTTGGTGGCTCTGTAACTCAGTACCGTTAAATTATATACATGCAATACATATATTTCCTAAGGTAATAGGCCAATATTTAGCTTTGATGATATAATGATATAATTATCAAAAGAAGACTCTTCCAAAAATCACAAAAATTGAAGAAAATATTCAAATGAGTTATTTCCCTTGTTCTTCGAAACACGTTCAATGTTTAGCTTGTAAACATTCACTCTAATTAAAATTAGATCACAATTTTGTATTCTCCATTAAGATTTATACCAAGACTGAATCCACCAATCACAGCTCGTCTAAAATCGACCATCTTCATTGCTTGCATGACAGCAAACTCTTCAACAGATCAAGAGCTAAAATTTATTTTAATACTTTCAACACTATATTAAAAAATAATGATGAATCATGAACTAAAGTGCTGTATGAAGCATCCAAGAGTGATATCTCTTGGCCGTATTTCGTGAGCAGGTATTTTCAGACCTAAAACATGTAACCACATTCAAAAGCTTAAAATTCAGGGCATAAAGTACCACAGATCTTTTTCTTTCACTAGTTGGGTATTGAATTCGTTCTTTTGTAACTCGAAATTAAACACCCGGGTTTATCATTTCTCATGTATCCAAAAAGCTATTCCATGTCCCTTACAAGATAAAAATAGAAGTCCTACCTCAGGTATTAATGTTGATAGTTTTTTTCACGATAATTGACGAACCAATGTATGACTGAACTAAAAGATTGGTTGAATACCCGTGAGATGGATATTTACTTCTAGGTTTGTTCGGTTGTTTATACGGGAGAGATCAAACCCACGTCCATCTGCTTCCTTCGGAAAATTTCCTGTTTTAAATAATTTAATCGTGCGCCTTTCTGGCTTTGTGTAGTTACGCAGACGCAGTTTCACCCACATACGGTGTGTATTTTGTGGTTATGGGGCTAGATGTACTGACGTTTCCTACTAATTAGATATCAAGGGACTTGAAAAACACACGAACCTTAATCAAAAACAATTACTGTTTTGTCCATTTGACACATTGTTTTATGGTCGTTTCTCGATGATATTTTCATGGTCTTGACATACGCGATAGAGCAATTTTGGGAATTCTTTGCACCTAGCATGAAAGAAGTTATTCGTTGTTAATAAAAGCAAGATGTAAGAAATGAAATCCCGGAGTATTGTGATTTAACTTTATTCTTCCAGTTCATATACCATTAACTCCACAAAATTAAGATATTGTTTCGATCTTGGACTGATGAATATAAATCTTGAAGACAAACAGACTGGTTCGTTACACTTTGTTATATTGTAGACTAACTGACCAATTGATTCAGTATCTTTGTAACATACTGGGCTTCCATTAAATGTTTCGAAATCGCAATGTCCATTATAACTGAACTTTAACTCGAATCCCGCCAGTCTATTGATCAGGGCTAAAAAAAAAGAGTATTAGTATAGGTTCTAACTATTAACACAGCTGGATTGTCACCAGCCAAGATGAAAATTCAACTTAATAAACAATATGGATAGAAATGCTGTAAAATTAATTTAGTCTTCGGAGGAGGAATAAGTAGAATGTTCCAAGTATATGTTCAAATAGTAGGCTTATCTTTATTTTAAATGTTGCTCACAGGCAACTTAAGGGCACATTCCGCTTTTTTGTAGGTTGAAATTTTTTTTCTAAAATTTTGAAAACTAGACACCAAAATCTTAAGAAGCGTGCCCTTTAACGTATCTGAAAGTATTAACTATAAAATCCATCCGTAAATATTAAAACGCCAAAAATATTCAAAAACATTACGCAACGTTTTCACGTTCTTTATGCTGTTTGCAATCTGTTAGAAAACTACTGTACGGATTTGAGTAAAATAATCCCCTTATTGTAGAGAAATCTGTGCCTAACATATTCTTAAGGTTTCAACTAATAATACCGAGCCATTATAAATCGAAACACCATAACTATGTCAAACGGGTTAATCAACTATCTTCGTTTTTAAATAACCTATTTTAAACAATTTCAGTTTGATAAAGAAGATAGCATACTTTAGAAATATTTAATGAAAACTTTTTACAAAAAAGTGGAACAACCCTTTAAAAGTAAGGACTTTAAGAGTTATAATTTGAAGATCTTAATGTGATATTGATTATGAAACTCGACAAACATAAAATATTCATACAATATGTTCAACTTAAACTAAGCTTTACTAGAGTGTAAGAAAACACAATACTAGTGCGTTATCACAAAAATATTATTTTTTATAAATATTAAAGATAGGTTCCCCTATTTCCATTTATGAAAATGAAAATTTTAATATTTATATGAAGGTAGAGGTGTTCTAATGAAATACCAGTTTGTCTCACATGTCCATAAGTAATTTATAATTAGCTAAATTAGAAGAGAATTACAAGCAGAATTCCAATGAGTGACCGATCAAGAAAGGTTAAAACTATTTCTTGTTTATCCACACTGTACATACATTAAAACTTTTATTTATACGCAAAAAGGACATAATGATATGATTAAGAATACAAGATGAGAAACACCAATTACTGAAATAGTTTGCTTAATTTGACACTAAAAAATAAGGGAAACCATCTTTAAAAGGATTGTAAAGAGGTTTTCTAGCCTTGTTATGTGTATGGAGCACACCTTTGACTTCTATTTGGGACATTCCAATTCTTCCTCTGATGCTTTGGGTTCCAGAATTCTGGAGATGAACCACAGACATCCGACGAAGAATTGGATGTCCCAAAGAGAAATTAAAAAAAAAATACATATAGATAGCTAGAAAACCTCTTTACAATCCCCTTGAGACATGCTTAAAGGTTAACAACAGTTTGTGATTGATTGTTTCTCTTGGTTGACATAAATATACTTACCTTTATTTTTATTGCGTCTGTTGTATAGAACGACGGATTGAAAGTCGTATACTTTCCCTAAATCAACACACCACCATTCTGTGTCAGATTTCCTGGTGTGAACCAAATTAGTCAACATTCCGTCAACACCATTACCTGCCCGGAATTGTTTCCGCATACTGCTCATTCTAGCAGGTTTATTCAAAGCTATGTTCTTTGTAGCAAACTCTGAAATTAGTTAATACGTTTTGTTACTATATACCCAAATTTAAAAAAAAATCGACATTAATCAAGTGTCTAAAACATTCCGTATCGTGTTGTTTTTTACCCGAGGACAATTTTATAAGTTTGTTTTATTATTACCAAATTGGCCTCTGAGAAAGTTCAATCGAACATTTACCAAATTGCTACCCATTGTGAAAGGTCATTTCTTATATACTTATAATTATTTATAGTGGACCTAAATATAAATCTTTCTTAACAACCGGTTCTATTTTGAAGTTGAAATTCAAATTAATATAAAAAAAATATTTACGATTTTAAAGGATTGATGCGTTATACATAACAGATATATTTAAAGAATGCTTGACTGCTGGTCAATGGTGGGTCAACTTCAACAATTAATGATAGAAACAGTAATAATTTAAATTCTAGATTTATCAATCAACAATCTTTACCTTGAATAAATGTTATGTTAAATAAATAACTGATGTTAAAATTTATCAGCATTTAATGCTGTAATATGAAATAGTTTAAGAACAAACTCTTTGTGGGTACTGGTGTTTAGTGATATGGGAGGCATTGGCAACGAGAGGGTTGTAGGTTGTAACAACGTTGCTAGATATGAAGGCCGTTTGGGCGTAGAGTTTAAAGTTGGTCCATCCAATTACTCTGTCGTTGAAGTCTTCTTTGTTTTGGCTTAATATTTGCAGTGTCACTATGGCCAATAAAACAAGTTCACGGCGCATACCCCAATTTACTGCAATTCGCATTCTTTTACATGAAATTGGGTCATGAGAACGTTATTTAACAAGATTATATAATATATACAGTTAGTAAACAGTAGCAGTTTTAACGAGAGTTATCAAAGTTTGAATCCATTCACAGCATTTATTCTGTATGATTAACGAAGTGTCTTACCCTCTGTGTGAAAGCCTAAAAAAGGTTCCAGCCCCATCCTATCATTCAAACGAACAGAATGTCGTCAATTCCAACCCACCAACATCAAATAAATAAATACCACCATAAAATAGAAATATCAATATTTACCGGCATCAATAAGAATCAGTGTTGTTACGGCTAATAACAATACGGAGTATAAAACGTTATTCATAGCTATTAATAGTTGACTTGACAAGACTTGTGGAAACGTTTGAAAACACTGTTGAAAGTTAGATTTGGTTCAGATATTTATACTAAATTCTAAGCCTCCTACTGAACATATGTTTCTTTGAAAACTGCCAATCAATAAACTTGTCTGTTCGTCAATCTTTTCATCAACGAGTTTCTAAAGTTATTTGTTATTATTTGATAATAGGCTTTCGCTAGAATCGATGTTTCATTACGTGGATATGCAGGATTATGATGTCACCCCATACATAGACATTTAAACAATACAATGTAGAATTACCAAATCGAGCCACGAAATGACGGCCTTTAATAACATAAATTTTTGAGGCTTCTAATTTTTTCATAATGAATCCCAACAATGGTCTTGATTGTTACGACGAATCTCTCCTTTCTTTACGGAAATCAGGATATATTTTGTCGTGGCCCTTATCCATCAACATATTTCATTGTAAGCACAGAAGAGACTACAGTCTGATTTTGATGAAATTATCTGTGATTAGTTATATTGATGAGATCCAAATTCTCACTCACTGATTTCATTTATCAAGTGTGCCAGTGGAAAATATATTTTCGACCACAGGGTTAATTATGAATGCCAAACGTAGTTCACTTGAAGCTCTGGATATGAACATGATCTCCTTGCCATGATTTTTAATTCTTTGCTGGGACTGGTGGGTATTGTTAAATTGCAGGCCAGATACTGTATTGTGTTTTACTTGATCTGGATTAAAATGTTGAAATTTACATACACGTGTACAGGTTGGGATAAACAAACTAGAGATTTGCCTTGCAAAATCTGGTGATTTGCCTTGCAAAATAAGCCTTAAGCTTTGTGAATTGATTATTTATCATTGGCCTATAGGCCTACATGTTACAGTAAAAATTAACAAATCTAAAACAAAAATTTTTAAACTTCAATATTGTCATTCTTCAGTAGCCCATTGATTGAATCAAAAATAATGTCAAAGTGCAATGATGTTTGAAAACAGGAAAGCAAGAATGACCCCAATCCTCTAAATTAAACGGTACCGTTAGGCCTACATGTAATACCGGTACTACATATCAGTAGGATTATGTTCTGAAAGCAATGGAAATAGTATACAATTGTAGCCCATTGACATTGTTACTTTTTCAAAAGGTGTAATTTGTGCCTTTTAAAAAATCTCCAGTCCAATCATTGCTTGCATAGATAAAAGGAAAAAATAATTTCCCCGCAACACCCTCACGGAGTATTGGACTGAATTTGCCACTTTCATTTTGATACTCTTCAGATATGGATAGAAATGTTGAAAGTAAGTCCGTTATGCAGGCAATAAATGAATGTTTACAGGCTACAGTAAAATTACTAAACAGTTTAACGAAACGAAGTTCTAGATTATATTAGAATATTTCATTAGGCCAATATTAGTATAGTATTAGTCGGAGAGAATTATTCACCATCTGATATTTGTGGAAAAGTGTGTTTTGCTCAAAGCTGCTGCTAGCCAGCTGGTGTTATGTCAAGCCAGCCAAAGCCACCAGAGGTGTTGGCTTAGCTGTAGCCGGCTGAAAATTGGCAAGTTGGCTGGCTCTAATTTGTTGTGATGTTTGAAATTGGTGAGATCTTTGAAATCTTTGATATGGTACAAGTTTGAATTAGATGCGTATTCCCTGAATTGTGTTTTTTTTTTATTACCCTTGAATTGACTAAATATAGAACGCCATAACTATTTGATAATTTAACAAAGTTGATGTATGGGCATATGATATAAAAGAATGAATCCATTATATGAGTCGGCTTATTTCATTGGAGACAATAGACGACTGTAGTTTATATGTAGCAATAGATTAACGATGTACTTGAACTACTAGTGTTAGATGGTGATGAGAACATTGCCTCATAAAATCACTGTCTTCTTTCACAAAGATTTCTACTAAAACAATGTACAAAAGAAAAGCATCTATGGTAATTATGAAAGACTAATATTAAAATTATATAATTTCTATTGGTAAAATTTCTGCATAAATTTCTTTCTGTAATGTTTAATAAATTACTGATGATAAATGCTTCAATATGAAATCGTTTAAGAACAAACTCTTTGCTGGTACTGGTGTTTAATGATATGGGTGTTGTAGTTTGTAACGAAAGGTGCTAGATGTTAAGGCCGTTTGGGTTTAAAGTTGGTCCATTCAATTACTCTGTCGCTGAAGTCTTCTTTGTTTTGGCTTGGTATTTGCCGTGTCACTTTAACGTAACGATGGCCAATAAAACAAGTTCACGGCTCATACCTCAATTTACTGCAATTCGCATTCTTTTACATGAAATTGGCTAATTAAGATTTTGGACACCGCATGAACTTTGGTGAGTCATGAGAGCGTTTTTTAACAAGATTCTATAATATATACAGTTAGTAGACTTTAGCAGTTTTAACGAGAGTTATCAAAGTTTGAATCTATTTACAGCATTTTTTCTGTATGATTAACGAAGTGTTAGTTTTACCAGGGTTGTGTCCCAGACATATTTAATATATGTGAGTTATCAAAGCCTAAATCTATAGCAAGCATATATTTGACATATGTGTTTAAGCGCAAGGTAACCCTCAGCCATTTTGAAATATGTTGAAAATTTTTATAAAATTTATCTCTAAGCATGACATGGGGTTCATGAATACAAATTTCGAAAATAGGCAGAATAACATTTAGATCAAAATTATAGAAAGCAATACCTTTGAATTTCAATGTGCACATGATGAATCCAAATTTTCTGAGTCAAAATATAACAAAATTTTAAACTACTAACTCCCATAGATAACGATAATGGCATAACTGACAACTTTCAAACTTACTTCCACATAATCTCACATAATCCCACTGCAACAATCGAGTCTTATTTTATCAAAATACACTTCCAGTTCTAGAGTTTTTACAAGCAAACATTTGAACGCATTTTCAAGAACAAGGGCAATATCTCATAGTAAATATTTTTCAATTTTTCTGATTTTCAGTAGGGTTTATCCTTAGGCGATAACGAACACTCACACCAAGTCTCATCAAAATCCGTCATGAATTGCACCTTCTAGAGTGTCGACGAGCGTTTCAACAACAAGGGAAATAACTCATAGTAAATATTTTTCGATTCGTCTGATTTTCAATAGGGTTCATCCTTGGGTGATTACAAACAACCACACCAAATTTCGTCAAAATCAGTCAAGAATTGTGCCTTGTATAGTGTTTACGAGCAATTGCAGATGGACATGGATCACGGCAATATACGCCTCCCCCCCCCTCCTATTTCATGTGGGCGTATAAAAATCAATTACAGGAAAAAATGCAAATTTCCTATAAGCCACATAGAGCGAAAATGCCAAGATCTAACTTTGACAAATAAATTCATTTCGCCCAAGTGTTGGGTCTTTTCCTGCCTAGTAGAGCGTGAGGAGTTGGAAAATCACACCAAACCAAATAAAAGACAATTACAGGAAAAAATGGAAATTTCCTATAGGCCACATAGAGAGAAAAGTCCAAAACCGAACCGAACAATGACCTCATTTTGCCCAAGTGTTGGGTCTTTTCCTGCTCAGTAGATCGTGAGGAGTTAGACAAACACACCAAACCAAATTCAAAACAATTACAGGAAAATTTCCTATGGGTCACATAGGTTTTGACATTTTTGCTCTAACTGTGCCAAGTGAACTCATTTCGCCCAAGTGTTGGGTCTTTTCCTGCTCAGTAGACCATAAGGAGTTGAAAAAAACACACCAAACCAAATGAAAAACAATTGTGTCTTTTCCTGCCCAGTAGACCGTGGGGAATTAGGACGGTGACACTTTATGTCAGAATTTTATTTAATTGTGTGTGTTTGATTAAATCAACGATATCTTGCACAAATTAGATTTTTGATATGATTTGACACAGATTGGTGACGGCCCTTAATTAGCACAATAAGGCGTAGAAGACTACGACAAAAAAATCATTCATTTAATTTCGTTTCACTCTGTGATATTTTCTGTCGACCATCGGTGCAAATATATCAGCTGGTTCTTGGTTAAGTCTGTTGGGTTTGATCTATCCTATTTCCCCGTAGCTATTTACAGTTAGGCCGAATGTAGTGAGGAAAGATGACTTATTTAGTAACTTTTACACCTCGGTTTACTGGGATAGTGAGGAAATATGACTTATTTAGTACCTTTCCCGAAATGAAAATATAATGAGCCTGGACCAAGTTATCAATTTGAAATCGTTAGGTAAATCACAAAATATTGTCATAAGGAAAACGATATTTTATTAACAATATAATATTCCTAGTTTTCTGATGAAAAATTAAGTTTTTTCCTCTCTTTCCGGAGTTTGACTCTCCGAAAAGCATCCGAGGAAATGTTAGAGGAAAAATTATAAGAAAAATTGTGGCCCAAGGAATTAGCAATATCTGGAAGAGTGGTGAGAGATATTCCCCCTGGCTTTCGCCCGTGCAATGCGGAACGAGGCCATAATGTCATCAGTAGGAGAACGTTCAAGGAGCCGTAGAGCCCGTTCTTTCAGTGCTGTCTTACAGTCTTCGTTAATCCATAGTCTATTGAATCGTTTTGAAGTTAGAGATGTTTTACGAATCGCCAGACCCGATACATCTTGTCAGATTTTCCATCGGGACTTCTGCCTCATCTAGATCATCTTGAGGAAAAGAAGAAATGCAAAGAGAGGTCAATTAGCTTTGGAGAGTTTCCATCTTTGTGGCCGGTCTACTGGTGAAGGACCATTATTAGAATTACAGGATAATGATCACTGTGGCAGTGCTCACAGACTGGTTGAGAAGTGGAAGGGGGGGGGCGTTGGAATGTATTGAAGAAGGGG